TACCTTTAAATTCAAGTTGTTCTGTTGTCTTATAAATCTTTAAAAAAAAAAAAAAAAAAAAAACAACAAACTAATTTTCCATGAGGAAACCTTCATGGAAAAATAACCAATAATCCATAGCCACTTTACAGGTTTCATAATTTAAGTTACTATTAATTGTACGCAAATAATGCAAGTTACACAGTTACAGACTGTATAACCTTGAGCAAGTAACAACTTCTCTGAACCTTAGCAACTCTGTAGAAAGTTGACAAGCTATTATAGGCTTCAATGAGTGCAGACATGTCTGTACTTAACTGGAGATCCCATGTACCAGGTCTAAGTGCTATTATCCCCATTCTGGATGGGAAACTTAGGTAAAGTGGATGGGCAGGGACTCTGGACTCACTGAAGCTGCTAAGCCCACCCTTTACCTCAGCCTTGCCTAAGGACAAGTGCTGCTTCCACTCCCTAGATCCTCCCACAACAGCAGTCAGCAAAGGAAAATTCAGCACCAAGCCAAGGGCTGCTCTCCTTAGCTTCAATGGTCCCCAACACCATTTTGGATAATGCCTTCTGCCTTCCCAAAATACCCACCTAACTGCTGACCTCCTTCAACCAGATCTTAGATGTCACCTCAGACTCAAACTTTCTTGAGCAGAACTTGTCTTTATCTTCCCTGACCTCTCCTGCTTCCTCCCCCATCAATGATACTGCTTTTGGTAGCTAGGGGCTACAACTTGGTCCCCACAAACCACCAGCCCCTCTCTCCTTACATGGAAAAAGACGGCCCTCTGAGTGTTCATCTGAGAAACGAAACAAAACAAAAAACTGGTGTCTGAAAGGCCTGAGGAGTGGCACCTGAAAGGGTCTTTAAAGTCTAAGAATAGGACAGAGCCGGGGGTAGTCGATGGACTACCACCACCATCGATTCCACCTATAGTCTTGGGAGAAACGGCTGCAGATCGCTCTTAGCTTCATGCCCATCCTCACCACCAGCTCTGCCAATGACTGAGGAGCACAAGTGCAATCTTAACAGGCGGTCAAAAAAATGCTTTCTGAGTCAATCAGTAGATTTCCCATTCTGCCCGACCACGGGAAGGGAAGGAAGTGATCATGGCGACAGGAACATTTCAGCCTGGGTGACAGCTGCATCTCACACTGTAATTGGCTGGCACCCTGGTCGCCGCCTCCGCCCCTGAGCATCGCCCCAGTACCGGCCACTCTTAAGCTGCCCCTTCGCACTAGGGAGGTGCAATGCTTCGGCCAGGCCTAGACCCGATGGCCATCGCGCTCCACCCCCGGGCCCCAGGACCACCACAAGCTCGCAGCTACCGCAGGCCCTGCGACCCGCATACTTCCAGAGGACACGCGGCCACGCTGCAAGAGGTCTCCAGCGCCTGCTCGGTCCCGGGCATCCACCGAGCCAGTGTAATGGGGCCTGGCCTCCGACCCCGGGATGGCTCCCGACTCCTGCACCGCGAGGTCGCCGAGTAGACGGCGGGGCCAGTCAGCTTCCGGCGCCGAGAGGCAGGACGTGGCCGCCGGGGCAAAGACCAGACCGACGCGCGGGCGGCGCACTCACCTCCTAGCCGGCGCCCCCGCTGCCACCGCCGCCGTGCGTCTGCTGGACCAGGCGGACTGGACGGCCGGCAGTTGGGCGGGGCCGGCCCTAGCGCGGGAGCCTGGGAATGGCCACAGTGGGACCTCGCCCCGCCCCCGTCAGGCCCCGCCCCTTCAGAGGGCTGCGTGAGCACGTCGGACTGCGGCGGGCGTTCAGGCAGTTACGTGATCTACAGATGCTGAGGCCGCGCCTTCACCCGGCCGCGCCAGATTGCGTCATCCGTCGCAAACCAGGGGGGCGCCTGCGCAGAAGCCAGCGACCGCAGTACCGTTTGCCCGGGGCGGCGCGAGCGGCCGGTTGCGCGGCCGGCTTTCCCTTACCCTTTGGCCATTAACCCGGGGCACGGGGGTGTTATCCCCACTCCGTGCCCGTGTGAACCGTGGGGTTAGAACCGCGGGACACACGGAAGGAGGAGCACCACCGGGAGATCTCTAGCTGGCAGGTGGCTGACAAAGCGTCTGGTGTGGCTTGACAGGAGCCAGCACACCAGGCAGTCCAGTGTCACGCGGTAGGCTGGGCCCTCTGTCTAGGGAATGGGGTTGCCAAAACCACTCCTTACTGTCGTTTTCGTCATCTATAGTCTTCCCCCACTTTGAACGGTCCTTAAGGAACTTCTGCAGATGCCCAGCAACTCCTCAGTGGAAAGTCTTAGTCAGTTTCGAAATCTTCCAATCAAAACCTCCTTTCCTGTTACAGAGCAGGGTGAGGGGACACTAGGACCCCCCAAACCTGCCCAGCTCTCAATAGGTTCTGCCATCCCTTATCAAGACAAAGCACCCAGTCATAAGACATTTAATGAAAGGAAGTTTAATACAATTATTGTACAATTAAGAGAGTGAGAAAAAAGCCAATATGGCTTCCAAATCAAGCACCCAGTTACCCATCCCCTCATGGGTAAATACATAGCCAAACAAGTTTGGCCCAACGCAGAGCCACTGAGGCCCTAAAGTCTGCCACAGTCTAAGGCAGCTTGGGGTGGGAGATCACCCACAGGAAAGGGTCACAAGGAGCCAGCCAAGTCTGGAATGAAAGAACCAAAATCAAGATAAAAGCTGCCAGTGTTAACCACCCTTCACCACCACCACCAGTGTCTATTTCAAGTGCCTTCCATGTTCCCCCAGACCTTGGTAACAGTCCACGCTGAGAAGCAAGTGTAGCTTCTTCCCATGCCTCTGGTCCATGTGCCTCCTGCAGGTCTTTTCTTTTACTCCTTCTCCCAGTCTTACCCAATTCTAATTCAACTCCTTCTCCCAGTCTTACCCAATTCAACCTTACCCAATTCTAATCAAAACCCAGCATTGAAAGATTGACCTTATATCAAAATAATTAATTCTGAGCTCAACTTCAAGCAATTGAAGAATAAGTGAATAATAGGCATTTTATTTAGTCCTTTTATATATTTGCATTCCATGATTCCAAGAAGTTAGAATAAATACAGCTTTCATCTTTGCCCACAGGGCCAAAATTATTTTTCTTTTTATGACTTTGTGTTACAACAATGTCACTTGCTTCCTCAAAGACTAAGATGCTTGTTGATCTTTTGTATAGTTCCTTTGGAAAAATGTATTTTCAGACCTTTGCCCATTTCTTAACATTATTTTTTCATTGAGTTGTGAGAGTTCTTTTTATATTCTATAAAAAAGTCCCTAATCAGTTAATAGTCTGCAAATGTTTCTCCTATCCTGTGTGTATTCTTTCATAAAGGTATCTTTTGAAGAACAAGAAATTTTAATTTTGAGGAAACCCAATCTATTTTTTCTTTTGAAAGTCATTGCTTATTCCTAGATCACGATACTTTATACCTGTTTTCTCCTTAAAGTTTTGTGGTTTTCGTTCTTACATGGTCTTTGATCCATTTTGAGTTAATATTTGTATGTGATATTGATTTATAGCAAGAAAAAGAAAAAAGTAAAAACGGAGCCATCCCAAGACTGGGTATATAGCAATCAGAATTTGGACAGCTGGGGTCCGCTCCCAGACATGTTCAGATGCCGTGGCATACTCAGACACTCCTAGAAGAGTCCACCAAAAAAGAAACTGAAAAGAACATGTGAAATCAGAGATTTTACAGAACGGAAATTTGACCAACCACCACTTGGTAAACTGTCCACCAATTACAACTGCATGGACTGAAAGTCTCATTTCCATGAAGACCTGAGTGGGAAACAAGCCCTCCCTTTTTGTGCACATAAATGCACTCCCCTCCATGGGCTTGGTAAACAGTTCAAGTTTGATGAGGTTAAATGAAATAAACTCGGTTCTCAGGCACCATCGCTATTAGAGCCCCAAACACCAACAATATTTTCTGTGTGCCAGAGCATCACCAGCCACTAGCATCATGTCCTGTGAGCTACTTTCCCCAGTAGTATAACAGCTCCCTGCAATATTTCCTATATTGCAGTCTTAATAAAAAGTACCCAGCACTTGCCAATCCAGAGCTTGCTAAATGAACAAAAAGAAAAGCAAAGAAGCTGAGATATAAAAACTAAATTAGACCTTTGCCCTAGGGCACATAGTCAATTTGACATCAGCCCTTTTCTCCCTTAGAAAGAGCTTTCAGTAAGTTGCTTTTCTTCTAGCCTCTAAATTTCTGTGACTTCACCCATAACCCAAACAGAGCTAACCTAGACCCCTACCCATCACATCAAGGTAGTTAGTTCTGAGCTCTTTGTTGTCCAGACAGCAGTTCTGACGCCCTAATAAAAGTTTGCTCTAATGCAGGAGGTGTAAAACTGTTGCTGTAATAGATAGCAACTAGGCAGAGATCCCACTTAATTCTTATTTCATTGTCCCAACATCATTTTTCCAAAAGTTTATTTTTTTTCTCCATTAAACAGTCTGCCTTCATTGTCAAAATGCACTTAAGGATTTGCTTCTGGACTCTCAACTCTGCTAGATCTTTCAAGTAGATAGACTATCAATTCTATCATGGCATCAAGACTACACAATATTAATTATTGTGCATATTTTTCCTTTGCATAGAGAAATTTTAAAATTTTTGATGAGCAGTGTCTTTATGGTTTCTCCTATAGGTCCAGAAAATACTTGTCCTTCTAGAAATTTAATATTCAATTCAATTTTCTATGACCATTATGGTTTGAGTTTTTAGGGTTTCTTTTGGGGCCCAACAAATTGACCCCCCGTTAGTGATGCTCCTGTTTCTTTTGGTGCATTTTTTCCTAATCTCTTCCTCTGCTGAGATGGAGAGTAGGACAACTATCTAATACACCAGGCAAAGCTCTTGTACAGACTTGTGTATATTTCTGTAGAAAAATAAGATGTAACTAGAGTGGAAAAAACTCATCGTCAACATTGATATTGAGAACCTTATTTAAATGAGGCCTGAAGGCTAGTGAGTTCATGAACATGAACAGTGGAAATGAGAGAAGAATCAAAAAAAGATTGTTAGAGATGGCTGCATTTCAGTGTTGTGTCTCTTATGTGGAGCACTATGTGGGAACTAAATAACTCCATGAGAAACAGGCTGATGAGAGACTTGTGGTTCTACCAAAGTGCCATTGTTTAACCATGAGATTTCATGTAAGCACCTCATCTGTCTGAAAGCTCCTGGATACAGTGGCGACCAAGGGAGTATCCCAAGTGCCCAGTTAAGCTAGCACTCTCATGATGGTATAGGACAGCTGTAATGACTTAGTGGAACAGGCTCGTTACCAGTCGGTGTCCAAGTAAGACAGTTCCTTGGCAGAAATTCCAGAACATAGAGAGACCAGCAAGAAGTTTGCTAGTCTCAGGCATCCTGAGTGCAGAGCGGCTAATCAGAAAAGAGCACATGGCAGGCTACGGCGAGGTTGCAGAGCATCAGTTACTAAGCTGAAAGATTTTTTTGTTTTCTGTATCTGCATTTTGCTCTTCAGTAAAAAGAAGACAAAATTATATACAGAAGACACACTCCCTTCAACCAAAGGCTCAAGCAGTGCACATGTGCCATTGTTGGCCACAGGCGTGGTGGGAGGGCCAGTTCTCTCTCTGACCTTTTGTCATTGTAATTTTAGGGACATTGAAATCACTTGCCTACTCTTCAGTTACTTATAGCCCCACCTTATTCCTACAAGCAAAGCAAATGAGCAGGATGTTTCACTTTCACTTGCTGAATATGCCAGGTGCCAAGTATCTTTCCCAAGTTAGTTTAAAGCACAAGATATGAGGAACTCCAGCAATAGAGTTAAGTATGTAATTATTTGAAAACCCTCTGCAACAAATGTTTAGACGTGGAAGCTTAAATATAAATGTCTTTTCAAGTGGTGAGTATGTTTAAAAGGAACTTGGGAGATGTTTAAAATCTAGAAATGAAGAGGGGAACCCAGCATGAACCCTATATGTAGTGCTGCCCTGGAAAGGGTTGTGGGTCTGGCCTGGGACCAGTCCAGACTCTGGGTACCCACAACCACAAAAATAAATGAGATCCTTGCTGACGATCGAGGCTGACAAGGAACCATACCCCAGTGAAAGGGTAGATTGGGGGAAGTCTATCCACTAATATGAAAGATCAAGGAAGCTTGTGTACTTGCACTCACCCTAAGTTTGTGGTGTAAAAGTCTCCCCTGCCTGACACATCAGATTATGGTGTAAAATTCTGCAACCCATGAGATCTAGGAACTGCTTTGCTTGTATAGTAACATTAAACCTGTTATCTAATCAGCAATATCCCAGAGAACTGTTTAACAGGTGACTGAAGCCAAAGACTATTACAAGGTGGGGCCCCCTGGATAGGGTAAGAACAGTGGCCTCAGGAGAAATAAGTTTCAGTGTGGGTGGAGAAGAAATATAAGGGACTCCAGGGG